GTCAGGCCGGGGCATCAACAGTGTCTTATGCGCACTGGAGGTGAGCAGCCCGCAGCAACGCAGACATGGCTGTTAATGCCGAAGCCTGAATATATGTCTCTATATATATAATCTGTATATGATACATACAGCATGAACCTGTTCTACTTGTTTCGACGCCTACATTGCCCAGCTTCCAGGGCCGGCAGCCGACCCAACTCAGCACGGCCGGGCTCTGCAGGTGTGTTCCGGCGTTGGCGAGGCAGGCCTTGTGGTTGTTTCGGGTTCTCGGTTTTTTAGGGTAATCTGGCTAAAGGTTTGGGGAGTAAAGAGTTTAGGGATCTAAAATCTAGGATTTCATTGTTAGTTCCTCAACAAGGGGCTGAGGGCAACCTCGAAGGCTCCCTACGGGCCCCCAACCCTCCACGTCCAACCTTGAGAAATACTAGCACACATCCACAAGGGGCCAGCCACTTAATTAAATGGTAATCCCCTCCGCTACTCGTCAAGCCCCCTCATAGAAAATATTGACGGAACTGAAATGCCTTTGGGATGTCAGACTCTTGAGTTGGCCCCCGAGCGAGAACCCAGGAATGCGTAGAACGTTGACCAAGCAACTTCTTTCATGTTTAGGAGGTCAGGGCTTAAGGTTGCATGTCTGGGGTCTATATCGCCAGCAGCCCTCCCAATCTTACAAACCAACTGTCCAGAGTCATTTGGGGGCTTGGCAAGTTCGGCGACGTCCCCAAACAAGTACGAATGAAACCTGACAAGGGCTTTTTTCAGATTGGTACGCATTTATAGGGGGTTTGTTCGTGTTTTTTTTTCGGTGGGATAACGTTACCCGAAGCCTGCACTCCTATATACTCCGCATATGATCTAGTTCCATGTCTGAGTCTTTCCGGTCGAGCATGTTTCATCCACAGGGCATCCAAGCCCGGTCCGACGGCGGAAACCAGAAAGCCAGGAGGCAATGCTCCTCAGAGAAGGGACTTTCTGCAACTTTAGGGGTTCCTGATCGTCGTATTAAAGGGAGCGGACAATTCGAGTTTCAGTGAGGGCTTGAAGAGAAGCTTAGCTTGCTGGTGGTTCGTAGGGACAGCGGAGTATCGTGAAATTCATGGTCCCTTCTTGGGCGCACCGCCCTATATCTTGAGCAATGCTATGGCGGCAGTCCAAAAAGGACCAAAAAACTAGTTTCAGGTGATCCAAGGAAGGAATGAGTTCTTGAGACTATACTGTTTGATCATCATGGTACGTAAGCATTTTTTGCTGCTGGTTATTAGGGAATAGGGGAATGGCGCACAATACTGAAGGTACCATGTTGTTTAGGGAGTTCAGAGTCTACGATTTTGCTGCATCCCTGCAATACATTCACGTCATCCCTATATAATATTCCTTCATTCCCTTACAAGGCCTAGCATTAAGGCAGCAAGTTTTGCGGACCTCACCTGCAGGTAGGGGCTGAGCCTACAGTCATGCCCAAAACTGTGATGCGCGGAAGGCCATGAGGCCCTCATCTGCACCAGTGGTTGCTGATGAGCCTTGCTCAATGAGATGCTGCTTGTGGTTCGAGATGCTTTGAAACCGGTTTGAGGACGAAGGGCTTGGGCCTGGATAGGATCCTGGTCAAGTTGTCATGGCCTCACCCCAAATAGTCAGGAACGGCCTTGTTTCTGGACCTGAAATTATTCTAGTTTGACCAGGATAGCCCTCTTCTTGCATGATGTTTTCCCAGGCGAGGCTGCAGCATTTATTTGGTTTGCAGTCGCATATTTTGGAAGAGTTGAAGGAACGACGGCCAGAGGAGCCTGGAGATTGACGGACACTAGATGTCATGTTTCGCGAGCTTTTCCAGATTGATTCCTGTTTTGTTGGTCGCAGCAAGGTCAACGTTAAGAACTTGTCAACATGCAGGTACCCTGCTCAAGAACTTGCTTGTTTTAAGCGTTTGACCTTTCGCAGTTGTACTGCATCCCTACTCCAGGGTTACCTTTGAACACAGGAATGCCAACCATAAGGTGCATCTCAAAGCAGCTGGGGAGTTCAAGGTTTGCTATCTAGGTATATGATCCATCTGTATATAAAGAATTTTCCTGAGCGTGCATCTATATAGGTATACACGCATATGTACAGCGTATGCATCGGGCTGCAGGGTTCAGAACCAGAAGCGCCCAGGTGGTGGAGGTGGTTCCACGAGCACCCGCCCTGATGCCACGCTCCAGGCGGTGCTTCAAGGTATTTCTCAAATTAGTCCTTCCTATTCCAGGTCAAGCATTGCAAAAATCCGATGGATCCCCGGGCTTCCCTAGAATCTAGAAAGCGACAATCGTTATAACTCCCAACCAGTCAACAAACACCACGACGTTGGCTGACAGGCTGCGACGCTTGGGGCACTTGGGCAGCAAAAGAGTTCGGACTGGTTTTCATGTTTTCTAAGTCTCAGTGAAGATGGCAGATGTAATTTGGGGCTGTATCCTTGTTCAGGTTGGGAATCCATGGCTGACCTGGATTGGGGGTTTACAGCGGATGTTATATGAAATGCATCGTGCCGCTAATGTACTGGAGCACTAAGTTTCTGTCTCCCATTCTAGGGCGTTGAACGTTTTCCCAAGATGCATGCAGGCATGCCAACAAACTTCGTGAAGATTGCTGTCTTAGGGAATGTCGACCCACATCTCTCTGCATCAGCTAGTGTCCCATGATGCTGCGTATAGTATAGTCTCATTATAGAGTAGACTCTCTCGATCATGCGCTGAAGTTCGAACCACCTAAAAACAGTATTCAGTGGCTGTTGACCCCTATTTGCAGGATCCCCACTGGGGACCCCCATAGTCATCCCCGCATATGCGTCCATCTTGACAAATATTCCCTGACCCGACACTTGCCTGATCCCTGTTTATGGTCAAAACAGGGCGCCCTCAGCGAAGGGATATACTAAGCCTACCAGGAGATTCTGGAGATCCCTACTGAGGATTCCGGAATTATCCTTTCAAGACTACCCACAAGACAGTAATAGTGCTGTGACACAGCAACATCTGCAATCTTCAAAGCCAGATTCGAATCTGAAGCTGCTGTTTGGGTGTAAGCGTCGAAAGATTTCAGTATCGCCCAGGACGTTCAGCCCAGAACTAAATGGTTATTGGTGGGTAAGTAGGAAAGGTATGGGTGGATCCTTATAGAAGTTCTTCCAGAATCCGCGAGAAATATCCTTATATGCTATTCCATCAGTCTTCATTACACAACAACCCCTACATGGCATAGTAATTTGATTCATTTTCTTCTTACAAAACACCGGTAGGAACCTTTTTGCACAAAGGCGGCCAGTAACACCGACGCAGCGTGGGATTCAACAGGAAGGCTGCATTCACATGGCTTATGCCACTTGTTTCTTTGAGCCTATCCTTCTCGAAGGTTTAGGGTTTCAGGCTTTGTGTTTTGGATTGTTGGTGCGGTCTTCAGTTTTTAGTGCCCATGAGATTGCATGGTGTCATTGGTCCGTCTGTTACTTGCAGGGGATACGATCGTGGCCGTTTTAGTCTCCGAGTTTCATACACACCTCTTATCACTGCAGTTCATGCTGCGGGTCAGGCTTTGGGGATGGGAAGCCCGAACGTTGCATCCGACAGCAAACGTTGCTGGCAACATGCAGGGAGGAGAGGTGGAAGATCAGTGCTTTCTCCGGTTCTGTTTCCGGGGATCTATTGTTCAGCCGAGTCGCTCTTGCTTCGGAGGCAGAAGGATCCAAAGCTCAGTTAGTCCATATCACCAACTGTATGCAAACTTCTGGAGTCAGCGTCAACGGAATGCATTCCAAGTGTCGCTTGGTTTGATGCACAAGTTTTGGAAAGGCAAAAGTGAGATGCAGCAGCTGCATCTAAGCAGAAGACAATTCATGGTGACAAGTTGCTTTGACCTTATATAAGAAGCAACATGCCTTCTGATGCAATCACTTCCACTAGAACCGTACCACCCATGCCCAAGTCCCCACTGCCAGCGCATAGCAAGCGCGTCTTCTGTCCTGACTGTGCAGCCCAAATACGGCCTCCCCACAGGGTTTTCTGTTTAGAGCCTCAAGTGGGGAATGGCAAGGAAAATGGAAACTGCCAACTACTTAAGGCCGAAAGGTTCACCAAGAGGTCCCAATACGCCCTGTAGCATGCCGAAGATGATTTAGGGTACATGTCTCAATTTGGGGATGTCCACTTACCATCCACATGCGCATCCCAGGTTCTTCGCCGGCCTTTCTCTGCGGGAGTCGCCAAAGCATCACGTCTGTTGTGAGCAATTTCAGCTTCTGTCTTGAAACTTAGTTAGGTCGATGTAGTTTATTACCATGCCTTCTATTCAGAAAGCAGCTGTAACGGCAGAGAGCCAAACCCAGATGACAAAACACCTGCCTTGTTGAAGATGCGCGGCTTGTGAAACAGCGAGCTGCGGAGAGCGTCCAAAAAGAAGTTGCACCTGTGAGCAGCTGTTGAGCATGTTGCATCCAGGGCGGGCGAGCATGCAGAAAAGCCACAGCCTCATGTATCTTGGGGTACCAAGTGCCGATTTGCCAACACCAGCCGTACTCCAACTTTCAGGGCTCAAGCCTGGATTGCGTGGAGTGTGAGTGAGAAAAGTGGAAATGCACAGACAAATCACACAAGCATCGTTTCCCTGTCATGATGACTCTTAATGAAACCAGTACACCTGCAACACCCAGAAATTGCCAAGATTCAGAGCTTGCAGAAGGTAACGTCACCGGCTACATCTTCCAGAAGGGACGACCACATGTGCTATTTACGACATAGGTGAAGCAGCCCGTAGCTACGACTCCGAGATTGTGAGGCCTGAATGAGCTCCTGAATGGTTAGCTCAAGTTGTAGCGCTGCAACAGCATGCCACACGCTTCCAATTCTTGTCTGCTGGCTGTGCAGCTTTCAGTCGCTCCTGAATTTCAAGTTACCATTTCTGGGTGCTTTTGCATGGGCCAACGCTGAGCCAGCTGAAGAATCAGCAACCACCAGGCCAAGATCATGGCCAGCGATGTCGACGGACTTTGCGAAGCCGTCCATGGGCCTCTTCCTGTGGTGTTGTTTTCCTATCTTGGGATATGCCATGATACAGGGGCTGAGTGACTGTGAGCAGTACACTGATTTCTGTTGGCAAGTAGAGGTCCAAACAACGTCCTCCCATTTGCGGAACCTGCTCCACCTTCTAGCCATGAGCATTATCTTGGCCTGGCTCTGCAACGTTCCCCCTCGAACGTTGCGGTATGGTGGCTTCTTTGCGGCCGCAGCAGTCTGCGAGTTCCTACTCAACAAGCTGTTTTGGAAGAACTGCGAGGACTTCATGGCACACAGCCTTTCGGCCGACAGTACCTTTGGCCTCTTTGATATCTTCTTGGCTTCAGCCACAATGTTGACTCTTATCATCCACACTTGCGAAGGCCTTCCTAGCCTGCGACGCTGCTTCCAAAGGCTTTCTCAAAAGATGGGAATTTCGTCCGGTGATCAAAATCCTGAACTCTTCTGGAGCCTTTCAGGACAGAGGAACTACCTCATCTACCTGTGCCTTTTGGTGTTCTTCCATGGCGGCCTGTTTTTTGCTTTCCCAGAGACAGTTCATGCGCATCATTACTGGGTAGGCTTTGTGGTGGCCTCCTGCTGCATCTTTTGGTCACCCTTATCGAGGTTGCTGCTCCTGAAGTCTGTAACCGGGCAGCAGCGATATTCAGCCTTTGCTTGGAGACCGCTAGCTCAGTATTAGTGTCGTGTTCGCAGTTTCTTTCCAAGTTTGAATGTCTGCCCAGGTAATGATGGTCATTGACGGCATAGGTGTTTGGGGTGCGGATGCTATTGTTGGCAAGGATGACGGCGGCATGTCTGAAGGTGACAGCGACTACCGATTGATTTGTTGTGTGCCCCTCGGCACCCGATAGGGAGCGAGGTACTCCTTGATTAGTATGTAGTAAGTCATATCAACGCTACTGCGAAGTATTATGTTAGGGCTAGGTTCTTGTACACTCCTCTGCTCGGCTTGACAGCTATTTCATTATCACACAGCCACGTAGATATCCCACATGTTGACAGCTTCTAGCCTCACTCTCCCTCGGAGGGAAGCCCAATTTTTTCAGGTAACATCCTGCAATCATACAGGCAGCCACATCTACTATTGTAGCCAAACCTGGTTTTCCGTACTTGTCTACCTAGCGAAGAGATGTCCTGGGAAACTGTTTTTGCTGCTTGTTAGAAAGGAATGGAGGTATGGTACCCGAAAGTAACATAATAGTCCATACATTAAGTAGGGTTTTTAGCATGGTTTTTGGTGAGTGCGTATGGGGTTCCTTAGGCATATTGTTAATTGTACATACTCTATTTGTTGCCCAATTTAGAGGAAAATATGTTGAAATCAGTTTATAAACACTCCCTCACACTTGTCCTTCAGCGTAGTCTTCCATTCTCGACGAACCACTTAAAGAAATTAAACCCTGAGCCCTAGGCAGCGCAGCAGCTTCAGTAACTTCCGTTTTCTTTTCCATTTCTGTACTCCCTGGTAACTCATGTTGGCTTCTCATTTGAACCCCCGCGCCCTTGATTGATCTATCTCCATTTTGGGGGTCCCCACCCAAACTTCTGGCTTAGAAAATATTTAGAATCCGTCAAACCGACTTATAATCAACTTTCCGCATTCCAGGAATATTATTAAGGGCTGCCGCCGCTGCC